TCCGTAAATATGAAACCTTTGGAGATGTCGATTGGGTCTAGGGCCAACGGTTTAGGGTTTAGGGTTTAGGGTTCAGGATTTCCGGTCTATGTAGGGCTCAGGTGTTTTTTGTTTTGAAGGCTTGGTGTGCAAGATGGAGGGGTTGGGGTTGGAGGCTGTCTTCTGAGTTTGGAGCTTTGGAATTATGTCATGTTCTTCTTTCCGTGTCCAGGAACTGCGGCGCAAACCACTAAACACCCACAGGCCTAGATCTGAATCAACACCCAAAACATCCGAAGCCAGCCCTAAAGTATAGCAATAAAAGAATTACACCCAAATCCCCATTCCATGTATTAAGACCCCTAACTGCTTACACTGCAAGTTCTTCCCTTCGGGCCATATGCTCGGACAAGCGTGGATCCATAGTGAATCTGTAAAGGGTTCTGCTAACAGGTGCCGTAAGGGCTCTACTAGTATATAGGGGGTTAGAGGCGTCCTGTAGGGTTTAGAGTAGTTTAGGGTTTAAGGTTCAGGGTTTAGGGTTTACTACCTAAACCCTAAAACCTAAACCCTAAACCCTAAACGTTAGTAAGCATTGTCATAGCCTTACGCTGCAGAACCGACCCTCGGGTTCACAGGGCCCAGAACCCTAGGGCTCCAAGTATACAAATAGTACCTACTTTGGGGTCTAAAGTCTGCAAATAGTACCTACTTTGGGCTATTTTGGAGCCCCAGGGGAACCCTCGCCATGAAAACACGCGCCCTGAACATCTAAGTCCTCCCTGATGGTTCTTGGGTTCAGCTTGAAGTCGCTAAACTTCGCATCTCCCCTATATTTTAGGGTTCAGGGTTTGGGGTTTAGCGTTCTAAACCCTAAACCCTAAACCTTAAACCCTAAACCCTAAACCGATTTTTGGGGGGATTGAATCGAGAACGGAGCTCAGGTAGGGTCGCAGTGGTTGGAAGCGCGACTGCTTCAACTCCGGAAGAACATGGTCTACATGGCTCGCCTCCTCAGAACCCGGCTTTCCGTTTGGGGTGTTCAGGTTGATTGGGCTTGGGGTGGTGGGGTTTTGGGTGTTAGGGCCTTATCGTTGGATTGTATATGAGTCCGAATCGTGTAACACTGTTGGGCTGGTGTGTTGTTTTCTTGGCTCTTGGCATAGAATGCGAAGCTTGATTGAATCAAGTTTGATTTTTTGAATGCGTGAAATGGTCTGTGAACTGGGATCCTTTGCAAGAGGGGCTCATCTAGGATCTACAGTAAGGCCCCTAACCTTGAAGTGTAAACCCTAAACTCTAAACCCTCAGCTTAGGGTTTAGGGTTTAGGGTTTAGGGTTTAGGGTTTAGGGTTTAGGGTTTAGGGTCGAAATCTTAAGCTCTAAACCTTAACTCAGGGCTTTCGGGCGCAGGATCTGAGCTTATGGCCACCGCCTCGCAGAACAAGAACCGGACATATACGGATCTCCAAACCACCCTAAAGGCCTGACCCCCCGAAAGTGTACACCTGATTCCTGAGCTTTTTCTCATTATGTTGGATGTTCCTCAAATATAAATATAGAAAAATGGGCCCCAGAGCCCTATTCTAATTATTAAGGCCCCTATAGTACGCCCTACACACCCGCAATCTTCAACCCGAAACCCTTCTCATCATTACTCCGTATCCCCGAACCTTCAACCTATAGTAGAAGCCCAAAAGTTGGAAACCCCATAGCCTCAATCCTTAAGAGCAAAGCATAACGAATCCCAGCACTATTTGTCTTTAATCCGGTTTCCAACTTTTTGGGGTTTACTGTAAGCTCGAAGCCCTCATTCAGGTCCCTATCTCCCATTCTGACCACCGGGCCTTAGTTTAGGGTTATGAAATTCATATTCCTAATAACAATAGGATTCCTGGAAACCATAGAAATCGGCCAAAAATAGAAAAAAATAGAAAAAAAATAGAAA